CAAAGTCCATTTGGGGGTGGCGACAGTGACCCAGGGGTCTCACATTGCAAGATGGTGGAAGTAGAGAGAGAAAGACAGACTCTGCTCTTCTCTTAAAGCCCGCAGAACCACACCCTTGACTACCATTTTTAATCCACTCACTACTGCACGATCCTACAATCCAATCACCCCTTCAAGGCCCTACCTTTCAATTACCATAATAGGATTTCACACCCTCTTAACAGTCACAGAGGGGGCTAAGTTTCTAATACATAAAACTTGGGGAATACAGCTCAAGCTCCAATGAGTTCTGAGGAGACACAATTCAATCCACTACACCAAGCAACTTTAATAACATCAGAAACCTTCATGTTAGTCTGTAAACAGTAATCAGCAATAAATATCCACATAGATAATTGTTGCAACCACATAGTTTAAACAAAACAAAGGGAAAGAAACCAGAGGCTGGACTTGAGACACTGCAAAGAATACACCTGTGGCAGATATGGTTACGTGGGCAATAGCTGATTCTGTCTGCCACAATGGACTTCTCATTAAAAAACAAAAAACAAAACAAACAAAAAAACCCCACATGCTTTTGGGCAGCATTTCTGCAAAAATTTACCTTTGGTAAACTACACAATTTAGTGAGGAAGCAAGGATGTCAAAATATAAAAATATATTTCCAGAGGAAACAGCAGACAGCAGTAGCAAAGTTCACTGCAGATTTCTGCCCACTAGTTTGCAGCATTAGGCAAACTGTCCCAACATAGGTTTTCCCCATCTATCTAATCTCACAGAAAAATTAAGGATAACTAAATAAGCTGGTCAAAGGTTTTAAACTCTCATTAGAACCTCTTCTAAATAAGTTTGGATTTAGAAATTAACCACCATTGCTTCCAATTGGCAGTGTGGAGGTAAAAAAATGTAGAGAATTTTGCCATTCTTGTCTTTGATTTTAGACTTTGGTTATCTTCTCTATTCTTCCCTTTGGTATATGAAGACGATAACACTGTTTTAACTGCGAATGAACCTGAATATGTCAGTTGCTTGGCAGGGTGATATATGCAAGTTTATAATCAAGAGAAAACTCGATTGCTGAAATAAGAATAGAAGAGAGACAGAGTGTACCAGGGTTAAGACCACATTCGTTCACTCTTAGCCATGTGACACTTAAGTCAGCAGCAGACTCACCTTTCACTCCCATCTTCATGACTCCGGGCCCAACGATATGTCTCAGCATAGCCTGTGTATTCACTGTACTGTTCAGTACCTGAAACAAGTAATCTGTTAGGATTAACTTCATACCCAACAGTGAAAATATTCCATCTAAGATCAGCAACAAAGTAAGGATTACCGTTCTCATCACTTCTGTCCAACACTATACTGAATGTCCCCTCAGCCAGTGCAATAAGGCAAGAAAAGAAATAAAAGGCAAAATGAGTGTAAAAGAAAAAAAGAAAAACTGTCCCTATTTGTAGATGTCATGAT